TTTTTTTTTTTTTTTTTTTTTGACAGAGATGGGGTGCCTTACTGCGAAAAGGATTATCAAAAGCAGTTCGGGGTAAAGTGCGCCTACTGCAACCGTTACATCAGCGGCAAGGTCTTACAGGCCGGCGATAATCATCATTTCCACCCGACTTGTGCGCGCTGTACGAAATGTGGCGATCCGTTCGGCGACGGGGAGGAAATGTACCTACAAGGTGCCGCCATATGGCACCCGCGCTGTGGTCCAGGACCTACCACCGGACCGAATGGTATCGTGAATGGACACGATGCTCACACCCCGCAGCATCGAGAATCGGAGAGGATCTCCAGCAGCGCTTCGGAGATGCAGGTAAGTTCGGCGCAATCGGTGAAATTCGCCGTTTAGGCATATTTATTCTGTACATTCGTGTAATTGATTTAAGCTGTTAGAAAAAAAGCTTGTTTATTTTTTATAATTTAACTATACAAGAACTGACGAAGCAATATTGTAGCATTTTAATATATTTAGTGGTGGATATGATTGTTGTATATGATAGTTGATTGTTCAATTAACATATTTTAAAATATCGCATTTTGTTTTATTCCCATGTGCGCTTTTATTATAGCTTGTTGAGAATAAAAAGTAGCTACACACATGCTATTTGTATTTCGTATAATGTTTTTGGTCATTATTATGGTTCGCATAAAATATAAGATGATGAAAGGGAGCTTTCGATTTTGTAGACTAACGCAGGGTATAATCAATGCAATATTATTTACACCCTAACAATTATTTAATATGTATAAACATATGCCTATATATAGGCTGCTTTCAAGAAATTTTATTTTTTTAAACAATAATTATTCCACGAATAATTAAAAAGTGTTTGAAGAATCATCATAGATCAAATAGCGAAAAATTAGAATAAAGATAATATTAAGTACTCATGATATACTCTTTATGGTGCACTCAGTGACGTAGATGCAGTAAATCGAAGCAACACTCGCGTATCTCAAACGGTGAATGGAAATCGCATCACGTTCCACGCGCGATTAAGTGTCCAACTTTAATTTTGTCCTAATTTAAAGAACGGATTTATATTTTTCAATTGTATATAATTTTAGTTACTTATTTAGCATCTACCGTTATAAGAACATTTGCTAGATAAGAATTATTCATTGCATATTAAAAATCCATAAGAGATAAAATTCTTTTAAAATCAAGAGTTTAGCATCGTATGATTAAATAGTTGGTTCATCGTTTTTATGTCGATATTGATAAAAAAAAGATTATATATATATATTATATGTCAGAAAATAAAAAAATGTGTCTGCATGCTACTATTTATATCTAGCACTTGCATTACTCGACTTTTGTTAGCCGCATTATATTTGTACTATATTGTATTCGTCTGCATAAATGAATTTTTTAATTACGATAACAGAGGAAGCCAAATGTTTCGTTACATTAAAAGATAATGCAGGGTTCCCCTGCAATTTAAAAAAAAAATTATTTGTAAATAATATCGTAAGATAATATGATGGAACATTCTCTAGATTCTAGACTAGATGATAAATGCTAGTTTACATTCTATATTGCAAATTTTTCTACGAAACGCTTTGGCACTCTTGACATATGTATCTATATGTTATGATAATATTTTGTATAGTAGTAATATATATATAGAGCAAAACATTCCGTAGAGCTGAAAAGATATTCACTATTTTGTCAGCTTTGTGTATAGCTTGATCTTTTGCCTCGAGATTGGCTGGCTTATTGTTCTACCGTTTTTCTCGTTTCACGCACGCCTCGACGTAGAAAACAAGCAAAACACACAAACACACACACATCAGAGAGATTATATTATTATTTTTCAATTTTTTAATTAAGTTTTTTTATTATTGCTTTCCTTAATTGTTGTTTACTTTTTTCGCACGGTCATTGTGTATAGTTTTCATTGCGGTCACGCACGCCAAGCCTGAACGGATCGCTGTGCAGCCCTTACAGCAGCCTCAGTCGCAAGGTATGCCATGTGTCACTTAGCACAGCACTCTCTCGACAAGTATTTCTGGTATCACTTTTCGTGCGTTACCTTTTCTTAGCATCGCGTGTTTTCGCTCTGTTAAAAGCTCGCGATCCGATTTCAATTGTATCGATCCGTCGAACGAAAGACGGCGGTATACGCGACGTAAAATTTAGCAGCAGATTTCTATAAAACCGAATTACATCGTCGATCGTTTTTAATTAATTTTAGTTATGAATTGTATCTGTTTTTCAGATCGTAAATATAATATAAATGAAGAAAGAGAGAGAGAAAATTGATGTGATCTTTTAATAACAGAGCGTTACTTGCCTTGCACAATATTTTTCTTTCATATATAAGGTGCGTTAAAAATCCAAATATAATCAGAATAATATTAATTTTTTAAAAAGAACAAAAAATAAAAGAAAACTTTAAAATGCTATATAAAGGGCGATTTTTTTATTTTTCGTTTATTCAATTTTTTACACACCTTATATAACTGATGTAACGTTTACGCAAAAAGCAAACTATCCTACATGCGTGATATAAATTCATTAATTGCCTCAGTATTATCCTGCGCGAACTGGAAGTCCCGGTCTGATCTTGAGGGAATACGGACGACCAGTAGAAGATGTATCTAGGATTTACACTTACTCCTATTTGACTGAAACGCCCAGTCAAGGATATCTGAGACGACCAATACAGCCGTATGATAAACCCCCAACTAGCCCGCATTTCCATAGACCTAGCTGTAAGTTTTTTTTTCTATTTCTATTTATTTTTATTAGAATTTGAAAAGCTTCTTTAATATATTTTGAAGATCAGCAATAGAGAAATTATAGCTCACTAAGAGTCTCTATATCAAATTTATAAAATATTAATTTTTTTTATGGATGTGTTGTGTGAAAAAATTAACTTATTAATTTTTTTAATAAAATATTTGAAAGAACGTTTTTTTTGTTCTAATATTATATTCAAAAATTTACGAGGACATTGCTTGCATTTAGATTATTAATTAATTTATTTTTTCTAATTAGTTTATTTGTAGCTTGTACGACAACACATTTGTTCTTTTTACGTAGCATCTCGTTCGATAAGAAGTAGCGGTGGACGCAGCAGTAGATCAGGAATGAGAGCCTTGGTCGATGCATTGAGCGACACCAGACCTAAGTCGCCAGCAAGTCAGGTGGATAACGACGAGCCGATAGAATTGGCTCATTATCCGGACGCCATGAAGCCACCTCCAGGTGCTCAACCGCCAATCGAAAGAGACGATTTCCCCGCTCCGCCGTATCCTTACACTGATCCTGAGAGACGTAGACGATGGTCCGATACATATAAGGTATTATCTTATTGCTTGATCCTTTTTCCCATTTATTCCTTCAATGATACTGTGTGTTAGTGATTAAATAATGTTTGTTGTCTATTTCTAATTTAGGGAGTACCTGCATCTGATGACGAGGATGAAGTGGACAACAAAACAACAACGTACATCAAAGAGGCGGAGCAAAAACTGAAAAAGGAGCAGGACGAGCTGAGCAAGATCGATACGGGAATAGCTAAAGTATTCCTGCAAGATCGCGAAAAAGATCGAGAAAATTTGAGACATAGAGCTGCGAACGTTGATCCTAGAAATGCCTCAAGGACACCATCTGCTGCCAGAGAACCATCATACCGATTGCGTTATGAGAGTCCCGTGGGTGCATGTAAGTTATAATTAATTTTGTATTTGTTTTAATATAAAGACTTTTCAGCGATTTAACTCGTTTAATTCAATTTATAACATTTTGAGAAAGATACATGATTTTGTTAAACACAAATTGATCAAACGCCTACGAACAATATATGTTGCATCTAATGCAAACATTTATATAAAATTTATAGAAAATCTCAACATTTTGTTACAGCACCTTCGCGAAATATCGACCATGCACGTCCTTGGGAAGACGACGATGGCTTCAGTTACAAATCCAGTGGTCCTAGCTACAACGGTGAGTTTCCGTTTGCCACTTGTAACGCGCCACTCGTTATTGTTTCATTAACATAAGTAACGATCATCTCATACATGTCCACACGTTCGCACATGACACTAACATACCACTCTACCGTTTGAAGTAACATCGATTAGAGAACTGTGAGTCTCGATAGAGCGGGGTTTCCCAGGGCGGGAGGTCGTAAATGGTCCAATTTTACCACTGAAAAAAACGTTTGCTACATGGAGCACGACAGAATCGGCAAATGCAAACCATCACGTATGGGAGGGTTTTTTACGCTAATTAACAAACGATGATAACAATACGTAACTAGAGCAGGACTTTGTTTTAAGTGGGATATAGCACCAAAAACTACACATTGGACGCCCAATTATTCTAACAGGTGATGTATGCTGCCTATGCATGTTGCATCGTCCCTTAATTCGATGTGCTTGCCTTATTATCTTTTTGTTTGTTGAGCTGTGTCAGGCAGCGCGTCAACCAGAACCTCAAAATAATGGACAGTTAAATTACCATTGCAATCTTTAGCCCTGGAAATCATTTCCCGAGGTAATTGTTTCTGTCCTATATTTTGCATGGCACTTGGGACCACGAAGTTCATTATACACGAACACACATTGCCCCCAATGCATATCACTCTCATTTTCGTGGCACGACCTTACCTTTAGATAAAACTCGAACTAGATTTTGATGAAACTATCGATTTTCTTTTCTCTATGCTTCAGTAGAATTTGAATAATTATCGCAATAATTATTTGGCTTAAATTTAATCAAAGTTAACATTCAATATCAAGATTGATAATGAATTGAAGTGAATATATTATCGAGATATTTAATTTCTTTCAACTTTATTTACAACTGCAATATTTCTTTGCAATAGAAGAACGATTTTATTATCTTAATTTTCTATTTAATTCATAAATAATAATAAATAAATATAGCTAAAAATTTTATCTTTTAATAAATTGTTTTTAATTCTGAGAATTGATAAATTGAATTGCTAAAAAAAATTTTAATATTAATACTTTCTTAGAGATGGTTAATTTTTAGATATATTTTCCAGTTACGCAAGTATCATCTACAATGTTGGAAGATAATTTGGCATAATAAATGTTTTATTTTATTGCTGCCAGCGCATGATGGTTATTTCTTTTCTGCACATCTTCGCTTTTTCACAGATACATAGAATTTTGCTTTATATTATAATATCTTCCAATATTGGATCATCAGCTAACTTTAGAACGCTAATATGAAATATTTATCAGTCTAATTTTATATTAAAAGAATATAGTTGCAAGAAACAAAGCGGAATAATGTTGAAAGAGGCAATCATAAACGGTTGCTATCACAAAGGTTGCTATCATAAACTATTATATATTGATTGATAAAAAATTAGTACTGGCTAATTATCGCAACTTTTAGTAACTGCGTTACTGTTAGTGCTTGCAAAACATTAGAAATTTTTTATTTAATCCTTTCTTCGCCTTAAATGTAATTGAATGTAAATTGTAAAGATATCTATTATGTATATAATGTAACAAAGTCGCTAATCTCAAGAGTTAGCGTTCTAGATTTAATAGATTACGACAATCTATGTTAGTCACGACGCTACTACCTGTCGTCTACTATCATCGTGTCTCTATTTTGTGTTTTTGTGTTTGTGTTGTGTTTGCGTGGGCGGCAGTTGGGAGGTCATCGGCGCGCTCCCCGGCTCCCAGAAACTATCCACCCCTTGGTACTCAGCGCGCCTTCACTCTTCCAAACGCCGCTAGGCACTATCACTCGGTGAGTCCGAAAACTTTCCAATTCGTCCGCCGTTGGTCCCAAGTCAAATCACAAATCCGCTTTCAAATATTTAATTAGTTTTTTTATATAACGATGTTCAGATAGTTTCCATTTTTGTGTATCCATTTTTAGAAAAATTTTAATGTATTATATTATCTGATCATTTATTATTTTATGCAATTAGGAATTGTAAATTGCACGTGCAATGTAGGTATGTAAAGTATATTTGACGATGAAATAATAGACTTATTATTATTATTGACATTCATATAACAATAATCTGAAATTTCTGATAATTTTTAAAAATAATTTAATTTTTGTAATTTTAAATCTTATATTGTAAGAGATATACGTTAATACATATATAGCTATATATATATATATACATATATCATAATTTTGTTTTTTAAAAGCCATTTCTATTTTTTCTTACGTTTCTAGTAGAAAAAAATTTTTGACTTGTCATCATACGGCGGGCGCGCTTACGAGAAAAATCTATTGTATTTACATGGAGGTGCTGGCTTGTTCTTCTTTTTTCTTTTTTCTTTTTTTTTTTTTTTTAGTCGCGTACTCTATTTTAAGAGTCACTGCTTTATGCACTCGAAACTATCGGTTTCCTTTAAGCGCCGTTTGCCGATGGGGATGCGATAATATATTCGAGATGGCTACTTCACAGATATCCTTGCTTACATGCGATGTAATCTAAGTTAAATTCTACAGGACGTGTTTAACAGTACGACTTACTTGTATCTCTTACTTCAGCGTGCTGGCTTGTTTTTTTTTTTTTTTTTTTTTTTTTTTTTTTTTTTAGTCGCGTACTCTATTTTAAGAGTCACTGCTTTATGCACTCGAAACTATCGGTTTCCTTTAAGCGCCGTTTGCCGATGGGGATGCGATAATATATTCGAGATGGCTACTTCACAGATATCCTTGCTTACATGCGATGTAATCTAAGTTAAATTCTACAGGACGTGTTTAACAGTACGACTTACTTGTATCTCTTACTTCAGCAACTTTTGTTAAAGATTACTTTTATTTTAAATATTAGTTGCGTAACATAATTATACGTAAAAGATACAGGAACAAATAAATGAAAAATTAATAATTCACATCGCATGTATATGTTAATGGATATCGGTCTTTTTATAAATCGATCCGAATTCTTAGCAAAGAAACATTGGAAAAAATAGGAAATGTCAAATGTATAATTGTTGGGGCGCAAAGAGATAAAGGGAAATCCCTGACAGTGGTTGACTTTGGTGACACAAGGGAGCGACATGGCTCCGGATAGAGTTTAACGGTATCGAAAAAAATCTGGCAAGCGAACGTTGGGCATTCGTATGGGATTGAGCGAATTGAAATCATCGCTGAGACTAATCAGTAATATCTGTGTCGATTGACTGATTTGCAAACTAGTTGTGAGCTCCCTTCGGCACATCCCGAAGCCGGGGTACGGTCTGGCACCGCGAAGTCACACCTTCTCCTCGACCGGCGGTTCCGTGTCTGCTCTCCCTGTAAGTCTCGCACCGCAAGTCACAATCGACGATGCGACGTGCACCGCCGCGCTGATAGTGCAAATTATACATACATATATATATATATAGAAGAAAGAGTACATATTGATAGAAATCGACCCACGGCGGCCGAGCGTATCACGCTTTTCTAAGATAACGCTTTTCTGTCGTCTAGGGCGATTATTCGTTCAGCGGGATGGGCGACAAGACTCACAGCACTGATTTCTCATCTGGCAAGTCGGACAGTGAGTAAAACGAGGGGGACCGATCGACGGCGGTCCCCGCTGCATACACGGGATTCTCTCACTTGTTTACACTAGGCTTTTCAAATTTGACGCGCTTGCGAATTTTACGCGCATTGGATAGATGTGATACCTATACAATATTATTGCAAATCGAAAGAAAACTTTCGCTAACTAATTTTTTCAGTGCCAATCTGAGATATATTGAAGAGTTTTAAAATAGAATCTAAAATAAAATTTTACGACCTCAATTTGGAGCCATCTCATCGCAGTAATCTCATTTGAAGCTCTTATTAATAAAAATTTTATTTACTGTGTCTTTCTTTCTAGAATTGAATATCTTGGTTTTTTTAAATATCATAAATCAAATAAAATTTGCTTAAGGTCATCTAAATTTTAATTTATCAAAAATTTGTAATTATTATTTATTTCAAAAATTACTGTTCTGATCGTCTTTATAACGAAGATATATTTGACAAATGTTTATGTTTCAGAGAAGATGCTACGATTCTTGAGAAATCTTATATCCATTTAACACGCGAATTATCATAGCTTGTGATAGAACTGCTGGTGATTTTTGCAAGCGCGTCTCTGCTATGATTTTCTTTACATATTTCGTTTCGCCTTGTTCCTGCATGCTTGACTAATATCTCTGCGAGCTATCGCACTGCCCCTGTGAAACGTTATACATTGTTCATTGGCTTGTTGTACGCCGTCTCATACACGACTTTGTCTACTTAAATATCTGTGAAAACGATATTTATTTATTTAATTATTCATTACGAGACTATTATTTACGGTGTATATTTTACGACAGTTTTCTATCTCAAGTAAATAATCGTGCTAAATTTGTGAAGAGAGACAATAAGATTAATTATATTTTTACACTCTCGCAGAAAATTATACATATAACGCGATATCATTGAATCTCTTTAGTTCTTCAATATATTCTTAAAACGTAGACAACCATTTATAAATCTGGAAATTTTGTAGCAAATTTATCATTGAATTATTATGAAACAATCATGTTCCCACGTTACTTTGTCTACTTTTAATTAAATAATTGTTTGTGCTATTCTGCGCATCTTTTCAGGCATAAGTTGTGAAAGCTACAGACAGGTAATGAAAGGGGAACATTATTGATTAAAAACAGATTGTAGTTAACATAGGAAATGGTTTGTGCAACATGGTTTGATATGGTTTTCTTTCACATTTTCCCCAATTTTAGTATCAACAGGCAGCATCACGGATGTGGATCGACGGGCATTGGTATGTACCACAGCCCCATACTACTCCCGGCGAATTAGCATGGTTTGTAGTTTGTTTTCGCACCTGTATGATAACATAATTCTGTTTATTAGAACAATTTAAATATCATATTGCAATTTAACTATGTCTCCTTCTACATTAATCTCAAGATTCTTTTTTTTTTATGTTGATTATAACAAACTTTTTATAAGTATAAAATTATTTATATTATTAATTCCTTATTATTAAATAAGTATTTGATAAGTGTGAGACCACACACACACACATACACACAGTATTCTTTTTCGAGAAATAAACAATTGCTCGCTGGACTTTTAAAGGCAAGAAACTTTCATCGAACATTTCTTTTATTGGTATTCAATTTGATTATTCTAATAAATGGATTTTATGAAAATGTAATTTTATTTAAAGCATTTTAAGCACGTTTCGACATAATTGCAGATGTGGTACATTAAGTGCACACATTTATCTGAAAAACATAAGGCAATACAGTTTGTACATTTGAAATTTATTTAATAAATAAAATATGCCCATTATTTATACATATATGTATGATTATATATAATTTGCTACATTTTTATATTACAATGTAATATATTGTACATATAATTCTATGTATAATATGAATATGCATGCATGCTGTACATTTTGCTATGATTTTGAGTTTCGCATTTTCGATTGTTTGTACTTACTCTCAATTTGCTCGATGTTGCATATTTGATTTATCAAACGCCTCTTTCATCTTTTAATTAAGCTAAGTTAATTAATCGAATTAATTTGATCTATTTCACGCTATTTAGTCTTATCAGCCAAAATATATTTTTCTTCTCTTTTAAATTTTAATGTTACGTAATGTATTTTGCATCCGGAAACATTCGATTTTGAGAAATTATTACATAATTATTAGAAATCTCATTATATAACTTTGTATAGTTTATTTAGTAATTTTGATAATACAAAAAACTAAATAAATTATATATTTTCATTATCAAAGAGATTCGATGTTATATTATTGACTTTTTGTGGAAATGGATTATTCAATATTATATAAATGTCCTCTCTTGATAATATCTGGTCAATAAATCATTCACACATTAAATTATATTTGTTGGGTATACAAAATTTTTTAATTGCAAAAAATGCATGTATGGTATATGCACACATTATTTGCATCCAGAAAATTATAGTCAGTATGAATAATCATAATTATAAACAATAAATAGCAGAAATTTTGAAAATTTTTGAAAAAAAAAGATTAAAATGCATGGAATATTGCTTCGATTTATCTTCGAATAAATGAATTTATTATCAATATCTAAGAAATTTAAAACGTTTGAAACCTGAATTGCGCGCGATGTAACATATTCTCAGCTGGAAATTGATTAACCAAAGAATTAATAGAGTCACTATTGTCTATTGAGGCGGCTTATTGAGTCCTACGAATTTGATTATTCGTTCGTGCATATAAGACAATCAATCCATTAATTATATAAATTTATTATGTGATGAACAGTTTTTCAGTGTGAAAATAATGTGTTTAATGTTCATGGACGCTGACAAGAATATTTTTGGAGATGCCAACAGAATTCTTTTTTTTCTGTAATTTACATATTAAAGAACTCTATCTTCCTGTATTTTGCGAATCTGTTATAAAATTTATATTCAATATAAAATCAACTTAACCAATCAAATCTTGTATTTAACAATACAGTTTATTATATTGTGTTATGAAATTTATTCTGTTTTATTCAAATTAGTTTTTCTTTCGTGGAAACTTAAAGAAAGAATGCGCAAGTGCAACTTCTACTTACTATTCATGTATCGTCCATGTGTTAATGTCTTATTTTTATCTTCGCGTCTACTCCTATCAGTTAAATTTATAATTTTGTATAATCGTGGTTTAGAATGATGGTGGGATCATCCCATCATCCACCACGTATACAGGTGGCCTAGGTTCGGTTGTTGGAGGTCACGGAGGTCATCATGTGAGAAGATCGCTACCGGACATGGGTGCTGCACCAACCGAACCACCCAAACTTTATCCTTATCACTTACTTGTTATCACCAACTACAGGTTGCCAGCTGATGTGGATCGTTGCAATCTCGAAGTGAGTGATATGTCACCGTTGCAAACCATTATTTAATCAATTAATTATAAATAATTAAATAATTATACATTAATAACAGTATTATTTATTATCATTATATTTATCGAAATTAATAATATATTAATTAATACATGCATCAATTAATTACAATTATTATCGCAACAAAAGTAATTCAAAGCTTTCTTTCTTATTCAGCGACATCTCTCCGATGCAGAGTTCGAAGTCATTCTCCAGTGTTCTCGAGCGGAATTCTACAGAATGCCACAGTGGCGTCGCAACGAAATCAAAAGACGTGTTCGGCTATTTTAACTCATTTTACACATTTTACTTATTATATACCCGCATTGTGTCACGATTGTGTTATACTGTGGTACAGACTGTACATTCCTACTGCCTGGGTAGATGCATCGCGGAGAAAAAAATGTGTTCGACGACCTTGCGAGCATCTGCCAAATCGGTGTATGCTTGCAAAATAGAAGTTCTTTAGACAGGAACAGATACATCTTAATACACACACATACATACATGTAATGACACAGAATCACTGCCACTTATTGTCAACTTTTTCTCGCAGCAATGAATCCAAGCAGCTTTATCTATGACCCGATTTGTTTAGTGACATAGTTATTCTTGAATTTTACCATTTGGAATTCTATTGTGACTTAGATTCACTTACACACATGTTAACGCGAGTACGCAATGACGGCTGATATTAAAATATAGACGAGAAGATAATCAAATAGGGAAGATTGCGATTAAAGCTCTTAATACAATTTGCTATTGTAAATAAGAAGTTAATCGAAATATCGAAAAGCGGCGTGAGAAAGCAGCTAGAAAAGTTTCATAGTAACTGCATATTCGCTAAATCGCATACATATATATTAACCTTGTGGAGATTATGACGCAAGGGATGCTACAATGATAGGATTTATTATTATTATTAATTTTTAACTATACTATTAATATTATTATTATATTTTACTATGTACAACATGAAGAGTTAAAAGTATAAGTAGGGTGAGCCCAGCTTGCTGAATGGTACGAATACGCTGATTAATCGAATAATTTGTGTGTGAATTTGTCGCGTTTTAATTTACTCTGTGGCAAGGATTACTTTATAGAATCGCTTGCGGTATTTTTTGTGTGAGGAGATATATCAATGTTTTTAATTATCCTTGAATGTAATAACTAAAGTAAACACTCTGCGATGCAGATTGCGATAGACTACGATCATTAGATCACTCTACATTAGAGTATAAATATGAAAATCAGGACCAAATTTATAGTCGTGGTGGATCCAACATAGTCAAACCATCAAAAGACTTGTCATTAAATCAGAATGTATGTTTTATTACATTTTACCAATATATAGCATTCATATTGCTACATATTGCCACATTTAAATTTATAGCATTTCTCACATTTTAAAAATGGCATAAATCAAATTTTGAAAATGTTTATGTCGATTTATCTATTAAAAATATAAAAACTGGTAATCGATTTTTAATAATCATATATTTAATATTTATATAATAAAGCGTTTATTTTATATACAACGTTTATTAATATTTATATAATAAAGCATTTATTTTATATACAACGTTTATGTGATCAAAAAATAAATTCACAACAGATTTTTATATTTTACATTCAGAAAGAGAAATGCATTTTGTACACAAGTCATTCTTATCATATTTCGAGTTTATTCTATTTCAAAAGTTGTTTTATGCTACTTACGAAATATAAAGACAATATTCAGATGTTATCGATATGTATTACTGATTAAAATATTAATTTTGTAGATATTACGGCATTCACATCCTCCACCCTTAAATTAGGTCCTGCACAGAATAAAAAAAATTTTGAAGGAATAGATCGCATGTAGCAAGCTGAATATACCGGACGTATGCGCGTTCATTAAATAGAAAACTAATTTATTCAACGCGAATAAAGTTGAATTTTCATATAATTAAAAAATACACGACGTATCGACTATTACGCCAACCATGTATGATTATCATACATGTGTTTATTATGTATTGCAGATACGCATGCGTCCGATAAGGTTGATATATTCGTTTAAACGAAGTCACCGAACTACTGTATTGTCGACGCGCATGCGATATTTTATCGAATTAACTGCGTTTTACTATACATACACACACTTCGCCTCCTTACCCTACATCATGTGCCTACTAAGCAAATGTCATGGGACATTTCACGCGAGAGAGGAATCGTTAGTCTTACAAGCGTTCTAAGCACGCTACATTTGTGTAATACTTAAATTCCTACCGAGACAACACGATCCCGATCAGCCGTCCGGCAATATGTTCCGATTTTTCACTTGGTGACAATCTTTTAGACGTATCTCAAACCATTGTGTTGCTTGGATAACCGCTTTATCACAAAGAAGGTCCAACGTGCTCCATGATCGCAAACATGCAATTACTTCATTATTTTTAGTTATTTAAGATTTACATTATTGCAATTTTTTTTATGAATGTGTTTTACTCGCGTAATACATTCACGTGATTGTCTTTTTTATTTTATTTTCATTATAATCTAAATGATCCTCGCGGCCGGTTTTGGTGATTTTTTTTTCATGTGTCCGGTATTCTTGATCATGGTGTAGCATTATTGTTCCCACTGTGCAATGCGAACCAATGTATGTTTCTGTTGTATAGAGCACATTGCTTCCGCTAGTCCCTAAAGTTAAATAAATGCAAACGTATATAAAAAATCTAAACATCCGTCGCCATTGTTACCATTTCGTTGATCATTGATCAACAAATATCCCGCAACGAAGTCTATATATGCATCATCTTTTTTTCCTAATTTGTTTTATATAGATCTGTCTATTAAAGAAAATTTTTTAGCATTCGACTTTATTTGTAGACGATAGTTCTTGTAGAGGAGATGCAGTCAAATCGAGAGACAATCCAAAACAATCATCAGAATGTTAAACAAATTCTTTTAATCTATTATAGCCTGCTGTAAAAAATTTAAATCGCGCACGAGTAGAAACAACACATTGAATGCAAGATTAATACACACAGGATTATACTTTTTCGCGAAGGATCACGAAACCCTCCAGCACACTAGAAAGTGATTCGTATTGGTCTGACGCTAATTCTGCTTTTTCACCCGCGCACAGCAATACCGGTGTGGTTTGTACATGACCGCCGACAATGGATTTTGGATTACCCGCTTTTCCCACAACATCTACATTATGACCGACTCTCACTGATACCGGCAAATTCTGTAAAATATCGGTAAAAAAGTGTGAAAATCTTAATATAAACTCTTTTCTTTTAGAATATTTCTTTTTTTATATCAATTGATTGGTTAATATTGGCAGGCTCTTGTATCTTTACCTTAAGATTTTCGTCGACGGTAACCAACCACCTTGGCTCCATCGCGACCGCCAAGCAATACATCAAATAATGAGACTGCGATAGTATAAGATTTCTGCAATCTAGACATGCAACAAGGACAACCATCAGTCCAGCCAAAGCGGTATAATCTAAGACTTTCGAGGCGTACCGCAAGGGCGATAAGGATAAAGTACCCTGGATGGAAAAATGACACGCTTAAAAATACGATCGAGAAAATTTATATTAAGAATAAGAGAGCTAAAATTTATCAGAGAAAGCAGTTGTTATTATTCATTCATTTACAATACACTTAATTGCGTTTAAGCTCTCTTATTTTGTTATCGAGATTTCTACCTTGCCCAAATGCACCAGGCCCTGAGAGATGCGTACGAGGAACAGGTGAGACGGATTTTTCGCGTGATAAGCTGCCAGCTGTCTTAACATCGTCGCTAACCGTGCATTGTTCGTACCGGCACCTACCAAACCGAGGGCGAAGATCGCATTGAGAGCGACATCGGCGTCGTGGTCGTGACTATATTTGTTTAACACGTCCAGGACTGCTGGGTCGGCATTCGATAGAGAGGACAGAGCCATCGCGAGTGGCATAGCCCGTCGCGCTGGCGTTGGACCGTATCTTCCGACCTATATTCATTAACGTAATTGTAGCGAAGATTTATGATTGCGAGAACTGTGTATGTGTATGTGGACCACGTTCCCATAATAAATATCAGTTAAAGTCAAATGCACTTTAAATGCGATTCTCCGTCTCTTTATAAGTCTGCCTCGAGGAAAGAGACGGAGAATCTCCATTAAATCGTAGTATTATGAATGAACTATAAGAGAACCCATAAATATTAATTAAGATAAATTGATGTTTAACTGTTTCTTTGTCTCTTTCTGTTCCTAGATATATATATATATATATATATATATATATATATATATATAGGAGCGCTCCCATAAATATTCATCAAAGTTCATTAAGGACTTACGAAGATTTAGCTTCTCACCTGACCAAAGATTCTCGAATTTTCCTTTCCTTCTCCAAGTCCGACTACTCCTACTCCAAGGGATGCTATTGCCTGCGGCGCTTCAATGTCTCTAATGTTAATAAAACATTAATTAATCCTAAATATGCAAAGAAATATATCTTACAACACCATTTATTTCTTTCTCAAAATATATTTATCTAAGAATTAAATTATATTAATTTACTAATATTTATACACTCTATATTACAATTTTTATATATTTTATTTATTTATGTATTTATTTCATATTTATATCTTTATTAAGACTTTGACAAAAATATTTACTTAGCAGTCTCCTCGGTTTGATTGTCAGCTTTTTTGTTCTTTTCTGACGTAGCAGAGGTGACTTGTGGTTTTCTTTGATCGCAACAGCTTGGTATCGGAGTATTTTCAGGCGTAGTTTTCACACTCGTTACTTCCTCAGTTGCTTCCGAACAGATCCTTAATAGTTCTTGCACTATCAAAACATCGCCGGTGCCCGCATACGCGCAAATCTAAGAGACGTGCTTTTACTAGATTTGAATATCAGATTCGACACATTATTTTTCAACAAGATCATGTAATAAATAATTTTACTTGTAGCATGGTTTGCGAGGCAAAATTGTACGGCTTTGGTAGAGCTTCAAGTGCCGCGGATGGTGTTTCTATGGCGTCTCGAGTTCCCATATAAATCATTCCCAGAGCTAACGCCAAAAATCTGCATATGAAAATGATTTCTATGTATTATGGGTTTATTTTGATACTATATATAATTAGTATTTTACATGTATTATATTAATCTATAATATAATACATGTAAAATATCAATATATAATATAATATAATTATGCGGCACCTGGAATGCGTAGTAACAAGTTCTTTTACAGATAGCCCCAATAATTTTAACAGAATAGTTGAAGACACATCGGAATCTCCCGAGCCAACATTCACGAGGCCCAGGGAGATGGCAACTAGTGATAATACTTGCATATTATCTGAAAATATACAGAACGCTATAGCGTAATTAACGATTTTTATATTTCTTCGAGTCAAGAATTTCAATTCAAACTATGCACAATATATATCTTATAAAAATATATATATTAAAAAACTGTACAATTTAAAAAAACAATAAATCAGTTAAAAATTATTTTCAATTTTTTTAGCAGATGAGGTTCTCCAATTTATGCGCGTACTCATCGAAGGACCACATTTTTTTTCTCGCGTATTTTCTAGTCTTAATTAATTTAAATTAAATTAAAATTTTACTTTGCTCATCAGCTAAAACTCGAGACAGAAGTTCGGTAACGTCTTTTCTTCTGGATCCAGCATAAGCCAGACCTAATCCCAAGACAGCTCCGATGCGAAGAATCTGGCTGCTCGAGCTCACATACTCGCTGAGAAGCGCCAGAGCCGGATCGCATTCGTTATGAATTCCACAATTTACTAGTCCGATGGCTAGCAAGGCACCTGATTTTATGTAATCTTCATTCGTATAAAGATATCTATTAGAGAACGAATCATCAATAACCAAAATTAATAATATTAAAGAAACGATTTTTTAATGATGGATCCTTTTCACACATTCAGTCTATCAGTTAATTTTTTTTTCCAGAAAGTAACGTTTTTAAAAATTAGAATTAAATTTTTGATGTATGTGATTTTCTTTCCCTGCTTATTGTTAAAATTTATACTGACTTATCAATGGGAACTAATCCGCCATCGACGTCCCACATATGTATCAGGCCCAGAGAAGCAGTAGCTGACAACTTTCCATGCTCCTAAAAAAGAGAATGACAGGAGGCTATGCAAATTACTATAAATATTATAATTTACATTAATTTTGAAGCTGGTTTTGTTGACTGATAAATAATTTAGTTTAACCAAATGAGAAATATATTTATAATATTCCAATGATCATTTACATACATAATATGTCTTTTATAGCTACGTAAAAAATAAATGATTGCTATATATTTAATTGTGTATCTTTAAAAGTTAATTAGCGCTAAATAGGATTTCACGGGTTAAACCTTATTCTTGTACACCCAACAGTCAGACGTGTTTGCCATCAGTTTATCCTGGCCGAAACCTGCATGTACGAAACCAGAAACAAAGCTCGCCGCTAAATTCGCCCTCGCAGAATCGTGTTCCATTTGCCTGGATCCACTTACTAACCAGCTTTTGTATATATCTTCCGGAAGTTTCGGTTCGAGTATGTCAAGTTCTCTGGCAAGGATTTGGAAGTGGGTATTCACATGGCCGTTGCTGAAAATCGCCTCTATATCTTTGGCGTCGTTTCCTTGATATTCCATCCTCAAAGGCTGATCCTATTTAAAGCGTCGGTTATTAAATTTTACTAAACAATTTTCTCACTGACACTATTTTATTGAAATTGCAATTTATTTCGTAAAACATGAATAGTTGCGAATATCTTTTAATTTTTGAAATCAAAAACTTAATTTTACATAATTGAACTGCTTTTTTATATATTTTGATTTGTTTATATAAATTTTAATAAAAAATTGAAAAAATATCTCCCTCACATTAAAAAGTTTAAGAAAGAAAAAAGGCGCTAATAAATTGGAAAATTATAATTTTAAAGATTAAATACTCAAACTTGCAGAATCGAATTTTATTTGATTTGTTTTAATTCATATATCCTTAACAAATATGTCTTTAATAATATATTTTAATATATTTGAAATTAGTTTCTCTCTTGGATAGCAATTCTCTGAGCCATTATGACTTTCGATTTATACATATATGTTTTATTCCATTTATCGCTATGTTGATGAAGTGCTTAAATGCGATGCGAATACATATTATGCAGAAAATTACTTGCAGTCGCGCGAGGATCAAGGCCAGTTGATTCCTCGTTAAAGAGTCAGGACAAGCATGAAAGCACTTGAAAATGAGTTCTGAATTCGCAAGTTGCAGCGCTATCAAAATTGCCCTTGTAAACTCGTTAAACTTCAGATATTGCTCTGTGGCGAATTCTAATATTTGTCTTCTCTCTGTGTCCTCACTAAAAGATATATAAATATTGTTCATATACAGAAACTAATCTAGCGATAGAAATTGAATGCGCGATCTGATTATGTCGCTTGTTGGATAAATCGTCGTTAAACTTTTCTTATTCTCTCATGTTTTATTTATACGATTAAATTTTTATATATTGTAGAAATTAAAATGCAATTTAATTAATTACATTTTGTTTATATAAGTAGATTCATGTTTTAAACTAAACATTAAGTTTAGTATTAAAAAGTAATATTAAAAAGTAAAATAAATATAATTTTAATTTTACAGAATGATGTCTTACAATCGCGTTTATTGCAGCTGTAGTTACCTGTAAGCCGCGCAGCTAATTAAATAATGACACACTCGTGTAAAATTTGTGGAATCCAAATGTTCCGCGAGGAAATTCAGTTCGTCAATCTCCAAGCACAAATCGCATGCCTGTATTTCCGCGTTGTGTTTTATGTCAAATGAAATGATGCTTTTAATCAACGGTGTAAGACGTTTTCTGTGATGAGAACAATAGTTTTACGTCAATCTTATTACTTCTCATTTCTAGTGTAAGCATATATATGGCTCTACCATGTTGAAAATATGTAAACTAATATATTATCTAAATATTTTTAGTAAATTGCTATTATAAATTGTTATTTCTATTATCGAGTGTTAACCTTCTAAGTAATACATGTATTTCACCTGATCTCATGCTCCTCTTTGATCGGCGCATTCGTCCATTCGTCAACTATCTCTACTTCGAGTTGCCTCACGTATTCATGACCCCATTCACCGGGATTATTCACCGCCCCTTTGATACAGAAATTCAAGCAATCCTTGAATGCTGGAGTGCCTCCGGCTAGAGCGAGCACACTCAGAATTTCCGCAAAACGTGTCTTTACTTCCTTTTGTTTGAGTCTTTCGTATGCACCCTTTAAACTTGGATAAAACTCTCTCAAGTATTTAAGAGGTTTCGGAACGGAAGTCATCGAAGTCGTGGATGTGCATATCAGCATCCTTAGATGATTCAATGATAACAATATGGCTGTCTCATCTTTACCCTGATAGGAAAATTATACGCGAAAAGTATGTAAGTTTAAAATTTCCTTCTAAGAAAGAAACGGCTTTTTTAATTATCGCAAATAAAAGTTGATAAATTTTAATGTCATTTGGACATTATTTTTCACTACGCGAAATGGACAACAGAATTGTCAAAATTTATTTACTTTTAATACGTCGACCGTTTGCAGCAGTTCTTCCTGCAATCTCTTATCTTCTTCATTCTGTAATATAGAACATGAAAAGATAATGATACGCAATCTGATACGTAATATTTTTTTAAATGACATCTTCTGATATATTTTGCATTTTTTTTAAATTAATATTACATGCATACCATATCGCTTTCCTTATCTTCCTTGTGTTTATTCATCGTTTTTAAAGCTTTTCTTACCGTATACGCTGAATATTTTATCAAGTTTCTATAATGCTAAATTGGACGTTTCAACGAAAAAGCTTTAATTAATATGCTGTCAAATAAATTTGTTTATCTCAGTTTATCCGTCACACGCAGCGCACGGCTTTTGTTTCGTTATGTTGTGGAGAGGTGGAGACTGGTATATGTGGTAACGATTATTTATTAAAATATCAATCAAGCCAAAATTAAAAGCAAATTTATGTTGACAGTTGAAAAAGATTTTGTGTGTATATATTATACATGCACAAGTATGTATAAGTTGTACACGCTTATTCGCCGGCGACAATAAATAGCCGGCGATAAAAGGAGTGCATATCTCCTTTTTCGATCTCTGGTTAGAGATCGATCCAGAAAGTGGTCAGGAGCAACGAAAGGTAGGTCCAACTGGCCCGAAGAATGGATATAGGTTACGCAAAATAGGCGGCTAAAATGCGTAGCAAGAGATACATAAAGTACGATTAGGGTACGCGATTAGGGCACGCGAGTAGGTCACGCGAGTAGGGCACGCGGTTAGGACACGCGATTAGGGATACGTTTTCCAAATCTCCGCTGGTTCAGCCAGCAAGTAAGATTGTTATAGGGCTATAGGAACTATTAGGACATTAAAGAAAAAGCTAGAAATAAGATTAAAATATATAATAATATTATCCAATTTCAATTTTATTCTTAGAAAAATTTATATAAATTGAATATATTTATTTGATATTGATAGCGCATCACCAATTTGTAAATTCCATAATTATAATTATATTTCAATTATAATCTAATATTATAATTATAATTATGTTGTAATTGTATTATATAAAATTGTATTTATTACTTGTATGTAAATTATATGAAATATGTTTTCTTTTGTAAATTACACGAAAAATTACCGAAAGAACACGTATAATGACAATATATAGAAATTAGTTCACAATTAACATCTAAAGTATGTATCGTAAAAATATTCTTATACATAAATTTAACCGTGTGTGTTTTCATACCAAAGAGTCGTTGATAAAATCGGGAAACTTTACAAATTTTACAAATATATATACTTTTTTGGTATTAAATATAAAAAATATCGAATAAGAGTGTGAAGATTCGATATTAAACTAATAGTTAAATATTAGCTTCTTATTTACGAAATTTAACGATCACTTTTGATTGCAAAATCACGAGTAAATTATTACGAATTTTTACTTTTAATTAGAGATTGATGTATTTACAATATCCGTATTGGAACCAAATATTCGTAAAATAAATTAATAAATTAACTGCGACAACACCATGTTTTTTTCGCGTTTTTTCCGTATTTTTCCGTTTTCTTTCCGTTCTTTTTGTTTTTGAACGCGATCGCTGTCCCTCTCGTCAAGTGAACGTTAATAAAGTTGTCTGGCTCGTACCGGCAAATAGTCGAAACAATCTTCATTGTGGAGAATTATTTCTTATTAGTTTTTGTAAGATCTATCCGCGACGTCTAGTTCGGTGCTCTGTTGAAAATTGGGGTTTTTGTTGCAGGATTGGAATTAATCCCAGATTTTCCTGGCGATTCCTGAAAGTAATGATTTCGGTAGTAACTCAACGACGAGCGCCATATGCTTCTTTAAAGTTGTATTAAGAAATTAATTTAAACAGTATATATATTTTTTTAGAAGAAAGATATATTTTCTTCTCTTTGTTAAAAGTGTTCTTCCATCATTATTAGTATTAATATTATTATTGTCTTTATGAAAAAGAAAGACTTAACAGTAGATTAAACATGGATATAGCTATTGGATATAAATTTATATTTTTTTAATAATTTCAAATTGCAATCAGTTTTTATTGACTTTTTTGATAAAAAAAATATGGTTACGAACGAATGTATTTTAATAATTAACTATTAATTAATTAATATAATTTTTGGTTTCTTTTGAGAAACTATTTATCTAGTTGGGATATTAATTAAATATTAATATTATTATTGTCTTTATGAAAAAGAAAGACTATGAGAAAGACTTAACAGTAAATAAAACATGGATATAGCTATTGTGTTTAAATTAATTTTTTTAAGCAATTTCAAATTGCAATCAGTTTGTCCGTTCCTGTTGATTTTTTCGATAAAAAAATTATGCTTACGAACAAACATATTTTAAAAATTAAGTGTCAATTAATATAATGTTTGATTTCTTTTGAGAAACTATTTCTAGGCACTTGGAATATTAACATTAGTTTTTGGTTTCTTTTAAGAAACTATTTGCAGATATTGGACATCCCGCAACTTTAGGACATCAGTCCTGGATTAGTGCTTTTAGATATGTGTACTATTCTATATATGTATATAATAAAATACATGCCCAAATCAACATATTATTTCAAAAAATTTTTATACTTTTTTGAAAGTATTATGATATATACAAAATTATATATATGAATATAACGAAAAATGTGCGGATACTTAAAAAAATATTTCGAGACAAATCGAATGGGTACCCCGATATCAGTAAAATATCGGCAAATTAATTTATTTAAATGCTACAGAAAAATAGCTTATTGTTAGAATTAATTATTTGAAATACTTACTTTGATTTATTTTATCTTACAAAGTGCTTGAATTAAAATTTTTTAAATTTTGCTGTTATCGGGTTTGATTCGTTTCGAGCAGTTGGTACCCGAGAATTATTTGTATTCGCACATTTAATATTAGTTATAATAACAATGCATGTATTTTATTATGCATAAATATAGTCGTTCGTAACCACATTTCCACAAAAATCGTTATATTCATTTATTTTTTAATAAAGAGATATATTTCATAATAATGGAAGACCACGTTTTCTCGCATGAATTTCGATCTCGTGAATTGAAGATAATGACAATGGTAACTGTCATTGATTCGTTACCGAAATCATTGCTATCGGGAGCAGTCCGGAAGATTTGATATTCGTTCCCTCCTGCAGCGGCTCTAACGTTCAATAAAAGTGTTCTTCTGTCATTATTAGTATTAATATTATTATTGTTCTTATGAAAAAGAAAGACTTAACAGTAGATTAAATATGGATATAGCTATTGTGTATACATTTATATTTTTTTAGTAATTTTAAATTGTAATCGATTTGTCCGTTTTTGTGACTTTTTTGATAAAAAAATTATGGTTACGAACGAATGTATTTTAATAATTAACTATTAATTAATTAATATAATTTTTGGTTTCTTTTGAGAAACTATTTCTCTAGGTACTTGGGATATTAACATTAGTTTTTGGTTTCTTTTAAGAAACTATTTGCAGATACTGAATTTCCATCACTCTAGGACGTTAGTTTTGGATTAGTATTTTTAGATATATGTACTATTCTATATATATATATATATAATAAAATACATGCGCAAATTGGTATACTACTTCAAAAAATTTTTATACTTCTTTGAATATTACTTTATATACGAAATTGTATATATGAATATAACGTAAAATGTGCGGATATTTAAAAACTTCGAGACAAATCGAATGGGTACCCCGATATCAGAAAAAGATCGGCAAATTAATTTATTTAAACGCTACAAAAAATAGCTTAAAATTAATTACTTGAAATTATGTCAATTTATTTTATCTTGCAAAGTATCTGAATTGAAATATCTTAAATTTTGCTGTTATCGGGTTCGATTCGTCTCGAATAATTGGTACCCGAGAATTATTTGTACTCGCACATTTAACACAAACTATAATAACAATGCATGTATTTTATTATC